TCGGTAAAATTAAATCAAAAACGTAATAAGATATTCATACATGTATATATAGAGGAGAAGCTGGTATTATGATAGTTTTACACAATAATTTTGTTAATAATCAATATTTAAGTTTAAAACTTGACAATTACATTCGTTAAAAATGTTAAAATGTTGTTGATTCAATTCTGGACTCTAAAGTTACGAAATATTTATTACTTAAGATTATTAATAAAAATATGACGATATTGCATAATGATTTGAAGAAAAAAATGGGTGGTAATGTGGCCTTCCATAAAAATAGCCTTAAAATATTGGTTTTGTTTAGAAAACAATATTTGGTTACAAAATTAATCAAAAAGTAAAATATTTTAAAATTTATGCAAACGAATATATGTACATAACTTCTGCATATAAGCTGCTCAGTACTCAAATCTCAGTACTAAAAATAGTACACGTAGTATAAACTATAGATTAACAGAGCTACAATCGATTATCAAATAATTATTTTGATATGAAAACCTCAAAGAAAAGGTTGTAAGTAATTAATACCCATAGAGTCACATTAGTAAAATGCAATGCTATTTTTTAAATTTGCATAACGCAAAATATATACAGTCAAATAAAATGTTAAATAGCAAATAACACACTAAAAAAAAACACATCTTCATGTGATAATACGCTCAAATTTAAGAAAAATGAGGAAGTTATAGTTGTAATTAAATGCTAAAATGTATCTCAGAAATGTTTTGAAATATTTGAAAGTAAAAATGCGTTATAATAAGTGCTGGCTATTGAGTATATTAGCGTAATGATGTAACAACGAGCTATTGAACAAATAATTCCATAAGTAATCATTAGGATTCGCTATATAATAGCGGAGATATTAAGGGAGGCTACAATATATACACTGGCCGTGATACTATCTTCTTCTCTACATAATAAAGAGAATTTATTATAACTAATATAATAGGTAAAAGAGAATTTACCCGCAACAAATAGATTTATAGAACAATCTTTATCTTTTTATACACAAAAGAAAGAATAAAGTTTTCTGAATTAATAGAAGTTTACATCCGCGAATGAAAAAGTAAAAAAGGAATTTCTCGCTACAGTTCGAGCAATCTGAAATATCGGACGGAAATTGTAGAATGATCGAATTGCTATGAGATTTTTCTTTTTTTTTTTTTTCATTCACAGATGTAAACTTTTATTAATTCAAAAAACTTTGTCACTTCTTAACATCATTTTTCTTATCGAATATTATTTTTTAAGTAAAAAATGTTAAAGATCTCTCAAGTATTAAAAATATATATAAAATATAATTATAAATTTATCAAACACTTTTTTAAAAATTATTACAAACGTTCCGATATTTTATTTTCTTAATTATCTAATTATGCCTTCGATTTGTGATTTTCGCAGATAACTTCGAGAAGAGAGGAAAAGCTTCCGACATCGAGGTGTTCAACGCATCTTTTATTTATTTATGCTAACCAACTGAATACAGATACTCGTTTTGTATATGTGTATAGACTTCAAGTTTACAATTTTAAAATTTTATATCATGTACATCGTAGTGCACACGTTCTCCATATTGATATGTATGGGGCGATGCACTTTACTCTCTTTGGTCGAAACGCTTTTCATTTCCTGCCGAGGATACAGCCGGTATAAAAAAAAGCTCTCCGTACGATTCCCGAGAAAGAACGTAGTTTCTTTATTATTTTATCAGTTCGTTTCTGCGTTCTCGTATTCCTTTGCATCTATAGAGAGCTCTGTTTAAGCTCCCTATACTACTCTTACAGAAATTGTTTATAAAGTCAGAATAAACAGAATATTCTAACATTATTCATTATCAGTTGATTGTCATCGTTCCTTGTCAATTAATTTATCAGCATTTATATGTAAAAATAATTCTGGTTAGCAAAAATTCACTGATTCCCATCCGGCCCATGTTTTCTATATTGTTCTTGGTACTCATTTTACGAAGTCTGCGTTCTATTCGATTCTTCGTTCACGAGACATACACGTCAAACTTTACTGTCACGAGATTTCATAACCGCGGACCGTTATTTCACATGTCAACGTGACTATAGACCCTATAACAGAGTCTGGCCACGAGATGACAAACTTTGGATTGGCCTGACGTTTTTGTCAACAACTTCAGTAAGTTATGGAATGAGTAAGATGACATAAGTTAGAATAAAGCATATATAAAAAGAGGCAGTATATATATATTCTTTTTTCTCACTCTTATCTTGACAAAATTATTCGTGGCCAAACTCTAGCTATTATAGAGTCTCTAGACGTAACAAAGATCAAATCTCAGATCATCTCCTCCAGATATTCGTCGGTAGTTGATATAGAAAATATCTTCGCATTCGCGGTTACTTAATCTCTCGTCGATCGTAACCTTTTAACTGCTCCCGAGCTCGTTTCGTCTCTGCCCATTTAATTTTGACTGTTACACCATTTGCCTTGCCTTAACGTGAGATTTTTATTCCGCCACGGTGTAACGCTTGCTTCCTCGCCGCTTCTCCCTCATCCGCCTACCGGAACGTAATAAATCCTAGCCATCCTGCACTCTGCTCTCTTACTCAAAGCGCACCCTCGGCTCTCTCTCTTTCTCTTTCTCTCAAGTTCCTTATTCACCCTCGTTTGACTTTCGTCCTTTTTTGCACCGTGTGCACCCCCGTTGAAATTGTGATAACCGGGAAGGAACGGGCGAAATGTAATTAGAAACAGCGTCATTTTTAAACCGTTCTTTCCTTGCTCTTGAAATGAACTCAACCTTTAGCTTTTCGCCCTCGTTAGGGTTCAGATTGGAGACTAAACCGAGAAAGAAAGAACTGATCATCAAAAAAGAACGACACAAACGAGATGGAGAACGGCCATTTGGAAATTACAAGAGCTATCAGATACTTGGGTATAGAACGGGTAGAGGAAACTTTAGTGAAGAGATGGGTTGCAGCTAACTATATATATACGTCAGTGATTCTCAAAGTGCTATTTACGCTAGCGCAACTGGAATTTTCTAATCAGTTCTCTTGAAATAATGAATCGAAATAAATAAAAAGAGAGAAAAGAAGGTGAAAATTGTTTTCCTGGAAATCTAAAAGACATCACATTGTTTAATTCTTAACAACGGAGAGCAATAATTTACAAGACGTGTTTTACAGCGTTTAAGACGTTAAATGTTTTATTTAATTTTTAATGGTGCTTTCTAACCAATTTTGTAGGTTGATTTATTCCCTTTCCGTCCGTTTTGTGAAAATTAATAGTTCAGTGAAAATTAAATATAACCTTTTGCTATTAAAAGAACATGTTATATATTCATTTAAATGTACCTCGTAATTCTGTACTGACGTGAATATCTGATCTGTTATGAGACGTAATCGTTTCTTAGACGTCGTTTTCGCAGTGAATTATGCAACTTGCGCGTATTCTTATTACACGTTAGTTGTTTTTAAAGCGCATTATCCCGAGACGCATCATAAAACTCGCGCTTTATCGCGCACCAAATTATGCACCGTCGTGAAAGCTTTAAATAAATTTATGTATCTCGTGGCGGCGGAGTCGAGATATTAAAGTTTGAGAACCTCTACGCGTTATACATCGTCTGCAACGTACGCATCTTTGGCTGTTATGCTCTTCGTGATAGATCCAATGGACTATATATACCTTAGCCAGAGGGGGCTAGTTAATGACGACGATCTTGAACCCGACTGTTAAAGACGGATCGCGAGGAAAGCGAAACTACCATCTGCAAGCTTGATTGGTGTTCTGTATCAAGCCTGAGTTTGTAATTCGTACGCGAAATGTCACGGTATCAGTTTGCAAATGTCGCTTTTGATACCGCTTCGAAGTATCATATATTTTATTGGCCCTGGTAATTTAATGATTTGTGGTAGAACTGAGTGACGTCAAGCACGCTGTTATTAAGTTATAATTTCAACGGCAATGTTTTATTTACGATATGATAGCCGCGCAACTCGTGAAAACTATCCCTTCCAATGCTATCCAAGCATTGCAATTCTATCCAAGCCCCGGATTATTTCAAATTATATAATTACAAATTATGGTGATGCAAAGCTGCGTTTCACACTGTATTTACTCGCGTTTATTTAATTATTTCTCGCTCTGCACTGATGAAAATTGTAGTAGTTTCTAATAATTCTTGCAAATAGTATTATTCCATTCTTTTGCTAAAAATAATAATATAATTCACCTGACTCTCTCATTAAGATAATAAATTTTATATTATATTTTATCGATTAGGTAATAATAATATTCAATTGATAAAATTTTATATTATATTGTAATAGCATGATATATGAAAAAAGGATGGTTACTATATGAAGTATAGATGCACACAGAAATTATCTCATATTCAATCTTAATTACACTCATTAAATTTAAATAATATAACTGAATAATGTAATTAATATCAGAATCAGTTTAATTTCTACATGGCGTAGATTTGTATTAATAGATTGGAGAACGACAACATCTCTACGTTTTGTAATACTTGTCTCCATACTTGTACTATATCTGTACGTACATATTTATTTCCGTAATGGACAGAAATGTACAACATATATTTATATGCATAATTCAGCCAACAGACATTTCAATTGCACGATAGTTTAAAGTATATATACATATAATATGTAATCGGATTTTCATCACGGTTTTAACGCTTAAGGGATTTTCACGAGCGAGACCAATTCTCGCGAATGGCCTTTCGCAGTCTTTGTGGCTTTCTCGGAGCACGTGCTTAAAATATAGCGCGGTAGTTAGCATCCTTAGGCGTGAGTAAAAAAAAAGGAAGTCACCAATGTAAAACAAAAAAAATGGGAAGAGGATAGAAGGAGGATGTTCATCCTTTAAAGCAGATATAGTGGAAGGACAGCACGCGTTTATAGTGGAAGGACAGCATGCGTTCATGGAATGAGACCGGAGTGTGCATTCGTGCGCTCGAAAGCGCAGCAGCTTATAACATAAGTGAAAGCACTCACCCTCTTGCCTCAGCAGCATCACGAGGAGCAGCAGCACAAAATCCATCGCTCGGCGGCGCTCGCGCACCCTCCGGTCCACAATTCGTAATTTTCACCCAGTTTCCTCGGCGACTGGCGGTGATCTTGCCAACAATTCTCTTCTTCCTGACGTCACAGAAATGTCGCGTAATTGTAATGACAGAAAAAACGCAAACGTTTATTTATCCACACGCAGCGTAGATACAGCGGGAGGTGTTAATGAACATTTCTCATCGGTTCACGTCAAAAAGATTAATTTGAGATACAACTTGGTTTCATTAATCTCGCGGATGTTTAGAATCACTTTGGCCAAAAATTTAAAGCGCAATCTCATGCTGATTCAAAATTGATTATAAAATTTATCCAGAGGTTAAATGAGCCTTTTCAATAAGTGGATCAATGGGATAATTAAGTAATAAAAATGATCATCGTTCTTAATATCCAAGTTATTAATTACACATTCATTATTTTCTAGTTTCAAAATGACTATTTAATCCTATTTTCATAGACAATGAAGTTTGTTTGGATAATCACCGTGTTGTTCCATTTATACGAAACTGCCAACTACCTTATTTGAATTTAATTACCGTCAAAGTGTTTTAGCTGGTTCGAAGGCGCGTTCACGGCACGGTTTGTTCAAACGGAAAAGAGTTGTGCATGGACATTCATAGCGTTAGAGACAATTGCAGAATTGATAGATGAAAAAGAAAAAGAGAGAGGAAACAGAAGCGGACTCGTCAGATACGCGCGAATGCCCATCGTACTGGTCTTAATTAGCGGCGAGCTTCTGCGTTATTCCACTGTCAATTAAATTTAATGATTGCCGCGAGTTATTGTGTTTTCACTGTGCGTCCGACTCAGAGGGAAGAAACGTATACGCAGTTAAAGAGCCGACCTCCTTAACGGCCGTATATGGATTTATTTGCGACTTCGCTCATTTGCCACCTATACTCTCTTTATTCAAAGGATATTCCGATTGATTATCAGTTGAAAACGAGGAAACTTGAAAAAATCTAATTCGACATTTGCAAACTAACATTTCATCTTGGCACATTCTTGTGAGAACTGACCTCCTGTGACATTTTTTCTTTTTACACCGCCAGTTAGAAATTTTTCACGATTGAAAGTTTTCTTTCTCTTTCTATCTTTTCTCTTTACTTTACCAAGGTAAGGTGCTAAAAGCGTTCGCTTCGTGAGGCGAGTGCTCTTCATCTTTCGGTCGAGAAATTCCGGTAATTCCACGTGGCCCGCTGCTTAACTGGATTTCCTCTTCGCGAGGAGTCGTAAGTCAAAGTGCAACGCCTTTTAATTCGCGAGGGAAACTGCACGCTTCTCAACTGACTACTATAAAGACTGAGCCGAATTAATGAGCGTGTATAAAAATTACTGAAGCGCATGAATAAACTAGACGGCGCCGCGACACCCAAAAATAGACACGACCGACCAATCCCGCGTTATTCTCCATCCATGTTCATCCTGAAACGAGCGAATTAATCTCGTTAATAATTACTAGCTGTCAAGACAGCCAGAAGATTGTCATGGCAGTATTAAACGCAGCTCGATTCGAGCCGCGTAGTACCCCCGAATGAATTTATAACGAATTTCATCTTGAATAATCCTGGGGCCGAGCGAACGGGAAATCTCGGACGAGCTCTTGTCTGAATAGCCCGAATCAGTCGAGAATACTCGGCGATTTGACGGGGCTTCCGGGGGGAGGCGATGTGCGGAGGAAAATGGTAGGAGAAGAAAAGAAACGAAACTGTCGAGCAACTGCTCCAACGGACTGACAGTAGGTGCGGATTTTAAATGCAACTTGTTGCGAGTTTGCATTGCAAGTTCCGGGCGTCGTCCAGTGTTGAGACGGCCGCGGCCGCGCGCGACAACGCTCTTAGAAGGAAGTTCCCGACACGTATACATGCTCCGCCGATCGATCCTCGTACAGAGATATATAGATATATAGGTGGATAGATGCAGAGATGACGCACGGATTGCACAACGGTCGCTGCTAATGAGCATGGAGATCGAACAGGATGTTGCTGTTTATCGAGCGAGGCTGACCCACCTAACTTCGAAATAGTGATTTGTGTTTATAATTGGGATGTACCTTGCGATGATTCCGTTTACCAGTGCCAGTATCGTCCGTTTATCCGAATCCGTATGTGCAACTCTCCATCGGAAATCGACCGCTTTTCTTCGGTATCTCGGCAAGCATTCGAGTATTCAATTTGGAGTTACTTTACTGAAGCAGCACGCTGTTTGATCTTACATATTTGATCTTATAGTTCAGCATCGTTGGGCAGTCGGAAGATTAACGGAAATACAATTTCCGTGTCCTACATATACATTCGATATTCGACGCCGAAAACTAAGATTGACTAGATTTGGTCCACTGTAATGTCGTTTCTTTTTTTTCCAAGCTCGTAGATAGAGATTGGTGCACACGATTTTCAATACATGTACATTCACTTTTCTTCACGGCCTGTAACATCGATCGGAGGGTACTGAGTTGTAGAAGCATGTTGGAACGCCGAAACGAAAAGTTCAGCTAAACACGATTACGAAGTTTACTACGCGGCACACAATATCGATAGAGAGCCGCGAGCGAAGCGAGAAATATTGTTCCATGTCGTGGTTTGCGGCATAGTACGATACCTTCACACGCGATTTATCTCGGGACCGCGACAGCCTCGCCACCCATGTTCGTAAATGATTCCAAGTTTGAGAGTTCGAAAGGTCTGCCGGAACTCGCAATTGTAGGGCCGGTATGGTTTATTTATTTGGTAAGACTATATCCTCGTATTCGCCTTGTTGGTTTTTCCCCTCTGAAATCCACGTGCGCAGGCGGCAGCGCGAAACACAACCCCACAAGCAACGGCCCATGTGTGGACTATGAGAATCGATTTGTCAGCGGATATTCCCCTTCGAATACGTCCGAATAAGGGACGGCGTGCCTACCCATTTCTGACTTATTCACGCACCCGCGGTACTTTTTATTGTATCTATATCGACTCTGCCTTCACGAAGAAATTCTTCCGACGGCAGTATTACGATATGAATAAACAAAGAGGATTTTATCGTCTAAGACTATCCTTCTCGCCATCACGCGATGAAAGTTAAGACACCCAGTCCGAAGAGAAAATATTTATTTGATACTGTAAATATTTTTCTAGATAAGATTGGGTGTCCCCTTTCAACTTTTGACTTGAACGTTAATTGTGAATACCATATCATTCAATTCTTGTTTACAAGAGTAATAGTTAATTTTCTTTCGCTAAAAAGAAATGCTTCATCTAAATTTAAGGCTTTTTAACGCAACGCAGTTTTATGTCTGTTTTAACAACCTGTTGAGAACTCGCTTAATAGTTCCGATACTAAGATTTCATTTTGTTAATCAAATTAATTCTTCTGTCAATGAACGAGTACCAAAATTATCGAAATTTAAACAGTAAGAATTTTTATATTTTTGTGCAAATTTCGTTATAACGCCTCAAAAACCCCATCCTTTAAACAAGAAAGATCGGTTTGGCAGATTTTTTGTTTCACTTTTACATTTTCAGCATAAACTTTAGGAAACACGGTAGTGAAAAGCAGAAAAATTATGCATTGACAAAAGATTTAACGCGGTATTTGTCCGAATCTGTTGAACTTTAATGCTGGTACTTAGAAAAATGTGAGCAATAAAACATAAGCCGTAAGCAAATCAACATTTTTTATTTGTTACTGCTTTCGTTATTGCCTTACGTTCTCTACTGTGATTGGCTGATTCACTTGCATACATTACTTTTGTCTTAGGATTGCCGCACACAGTGCAAGCGTTCAATTGTAACAATTTTTGTTCAAGTATAAAAATCTTATGGCAAATTATGATACCTCAAAAACCCCTTTAGTTTTTGAAGCATCATAAGAGAGTTTCTGTAATAATCAATCAAAGATGAACATTTTTGACGATTCTTGGCTGTGATTGACTAATTCCTATGGTACGTCTTACAGTTACGAAAAGTATGTATGACAGCCTTTACTGTACTCAAGTTTTTTTTGTGTGTCATAACCTTTATGCTCTGAATGTTTCGCATGCCTGATTTTGCCAATCGTTAATTTCACTCACGTACGATTTCTAGCTGCGATATGGGAATAGTTGGTATCATCGCGTCACCAATTCAATCGTTTCGCTCTCGTAGCTATCCATAACTACCATCTGCGCGACGCTGTCCTCGTTTCCAAATGCGAAATTCTAGCCTCGCCGTGCACTCTGCTCTTATTGCCTTTTTTTCCCCCCATAAAAAAGCTCTCGCTTTCCACTGCTCGTCCCATCGATATGCATCGGCGTAAGCTCAATAAAATCGCCTGATCTCTCATACAAAATCGAAACCAATGTGACGCGCGGCCCCATTTCTGCTCTCGCTCTTTTCATAATTGACCGATCATCAATTCTACCGATACCAATTCATGCGATCGACAATGAACAGGACGCTTGCTCTTTATTGTCCTATCATTTTGCTCGATTATAAACGATGACATGACTTCGCAATCCATCCCTCGTGCTATCCAAAGTTCTTGATCTCAATTTAAATGTGGCTTTCCACAATTTTGTCGGAAACGCGAGGGGACGAGCTTCCGCTTCGATAATCGTGTCTGGATTCAGTGTAGCATTCATCGAGCGGATATTCCCTCGTTTGTATCCTTACGACTTAATAAATTTCAATGCTTTCGCGCGAGCGAGCAATGCCGGTCGTGTGTATGTATGTGTACGTGTGTATGTGCGTGTGTCCCAATATATGTGAAATATTCCTCCAATATTTCATCAGTTTTGCTTTGAAGACTATTCGAAAAAGACCACGCAAGAGTTGAATAGTTACAGAAAGAAAATAGGAAAAAATTCATCACGTTTTACTATCGTATTAAATACGTTTTCTTTATCGAAAATGCGAATCTTGCGCGAGAAAAGGATGATTTTGTTAAAGTATCTAAAAATTTAGATATAGACAATGGTTTTTGTTGGGTTATCAAAATAATTATAAAAACAATAATAAATTATCAAGACCGTAAATACATAATGTAAATACATAATAAGTAAAAAGCAATGCCTATACGCGGTCGAAGCTTAAATGTTTTAAATAATTTTATGTGAATTTATACACCATGTTTGTAGTCTCTCAAAATATTTATGTAGGACGCCCAAACTGGTTACTTAAAATGTCAAATCTTTTTGCAGCATTACTCATCATATTTGACATTCCTGTGTAATTATTTGGATGATCCAACAAAATAATTTTCAAATATGCGTCTAATTAAATTTTTAAATGCTTCAGCAAATTCTCTTTCTTTCTGTATAACCGATCCGTGCTTGGTTGATAATCGATCGAATAATTGAGCCGGCGGAGAATGAGCGATGGGTTGTCGATCAAGTTAAGTAAGCTATATAGATTATATTCCTAATTTGCATAATTCTGTAGATAAAGGAAAATTTGCGTTATACGCATGCTGATTACAATAGACAACCCCTCTAATCAAGTGAAAATTTGCAAAACCGCATTTATTTCCAATCGCATGCACTGATTTGTATTATGAGTTAATTTAAGCATACTGCATATTGTAATTTCCATGATTCCACATAATTCTGTATATATATTACATAACAGTGGTAGAGGATGAATATATTAACTTGAATTGCGAATGTATACTATTCGCGATCGAGATTCCGATCGGTCGAAATTTCGCAAAGCCACATTTATTTTATATCGGTACCACCGCTATGATTGCTATCATTCTCTCTATGGAATACAGAGAGATTTGCCGATTGCGGATAATGCGACGGCGACGTATGATGTACTCGTTAACTCGAACTATTGGTGATCGTGCTTCTGACCGATATCGAAATTTTAGCGTGACCGCGATTTATTTTGGTATGCACGGGTATGTTAATTCGCATTGCTGGGACGATTTGAGGCCGCATTGGTTGCGCTACCGCGGTATTTGGAGCCTACCTTCGCGGCTCTATCCGGGTTAAGAGCGGCTCGCCGCAATTCCGGGGACAGCATCGAAATTCTTCCGGCCGGCTGGTTTCATCGCGCGATCGAGCAACCGAAAACGCGAAAGCGCGGTTTATAGACCGGACGGCCGGTGAAATTAAAATTAGAGGCAGTGACGCTTTCGGTCGCCCGCAACTTTTCTTTTTTCCAACAGTTTTTCCATTCGCGTGCACGCGTTCGCCCGCGGGCGTGATCGGGCCAGATGAAATAAATCAGTGTCTGCACTCGACGCGACGCGACTTTAATTCGCCTGTGCGGCACCGTCCTCGAGAAAAAGGCATTCTTTCGTCCTTTGCACGCGCGTACGCGCGTAACTCTAATCCGTAGATATGTGTAGCCAAACGTGTGTACTCCAGTTTGGATTAATCCCCATTTCCTTGCTCTGGCCGCAAATTGCACTGGCGCGATCGTCGGAAATAAAGTTCCGAAGATTTAACGTTTCCGAGTTCCAAAGTTAACTGCACATTTTTCGGTCGCACAGCCACGTTTTTTGCATACCGCGTATCCGTCGTTCGAGGTGAGAGAGGATGCCTTCCTCTTTTTTTTTTCCCCCGCCTCGAGCACGTCGGCGTTACAAAACGCGCAACAACTTTGTAAATCGCGCCGCGACGCGCGCGGTACCGCCGACCGGGTGAAAGTTCGCGTCGCGGATGGCCGATGCCGACTACGAAAGCTCGACCGCGCGTCGTTTTACCTCCGTGCGGCGGTTTGTAGCACCTGAGCGCTTGCGCGCCTCGTGCCCGACAGGTGCAACTGCATGCGCCGAGCCGCGTATTCACCGTAGTCGGCGACGATCGTCGATGAGCGCCGAGGCGCCCGACGTTGAATAGCGATTTATGCGTGATCATTACCCCTGTTTCTACTTGTTATTATATTATTATTATTATTGTTATTATCATTATTATTACTTTGAGACGCGGTGCATCGCTGAACAGCGTACTCTCTGATCGCGAAATTGGCACGTATACAGTCGGTGAGACATGCCTTTATAGTCATGCCTTTGTAAGCATTTCCTCGAAAATGTACGTAATAAAAAAACATTTTGTATTCGTGAAACTGATCCACTTAAATCCTTGTTAAAACTTTGTGTTGTATTTTTTAATATATCCGAGTGTTAATTGAACATAACGTGATTATATTATTTAAATATTTTGTATTAAATTGATATTCAACGTTCCTTAATATCAAAATGATATATTTTCTAGGAATGGAGACAAATAGTATAAAAAAGTCTTTTAAAAGATGGATTCATGGATTCTAAGATAAAGAAATAAAAAACATTTTTATTTAACATATCATAGATATTAATTTTATTGAAAAAAATGCTTTCACAGTTTGCTTGCAAATTGCGTCAATGTCATATTTTTGTGTTAATTTTTTGACATATAATATTTGTTACTTTCTAATATATTTATTTTGTGCTAAATTAACACAAAGCGTGACCATAAAATTCCATCTTTGATCCTGGAATTTTTAACAATATGCACTAAATTACGTACTAAATAATATCTTATAATGAGACATCAATCACCAAAGTTTGTCAAATTAAGCCAACCGAATAATTTTTATAAAGTGCTGTTTTCATGATTCATATTGGGATTGAAAGTTTCAATTCATTTATTATTAACAAATAAAAATAATTAATCACACATCGATCACATATTGCGACCAACTCTATTAATAACTAATCCTCATAAAAGTGAAAAAGTTTTTAAATTTTTTGTCCATTATACTAGGTCAATCATTTTTTCTAAAGATCTGTCTTCAGATTTATAATCTCTCAGTGATCTAAGAAATCTCTATAAGATATTTCTTGTAGAATTAAAACATTTTTTATATATATGGTTCGCCATATTAAATCAACCATTTTGAATTTTGAAAATCTAACTTCAAATTGGTTGTCAACAGCCAACAAAAACACTGAGTACGAAGTTTTAAATTATCAAACTCTGAAAAATGCGTGCTTCGAAAAGTAGAGCTGACGCTTTAATGAACTTTGACCTTCTATATCTTTTAAACCCAATTCTCAGCTCAACTTGAAAATTTTTTGATGTCTCATCATAAGATATCATTTGCGCATACAATTCAGTTCTAAAATCGGGAGACCAAAAATGGGCAAAAAAAAGAACCATCAATTTTGCGATCACTTTTCCAACTTCATATATTATACACATGTTAGAAGAAGTTTCATCAATTACAATGTTCGATAAAGATGAATATCTCATTAATCATAGCCGATACTAAAAATTCCTTTTGAGGACTGAAAGTTTTAAACATGTATTTCATTTTAATTGCAATAAAACTTGTCTAACACTTCATATAATATGACAAAAAAAAAATCTGAAAGCAGCCCCTTTTATAATTTTAACTGTCAATTTTTCAAAACTGCGACGTAAACAATTTGGAAACTGGATTCGTTTTCAAAATCCAAAAAACTACGGAAGATGACTGAATTTGTTTTAATGTTCTTTTTTTATCGAACAGTGATATCAATATATCATAGCTGAGCTAAATTGCCAATTAGATAAACAATAGCTAAATATCTTTAATTATTTATCGTAACGATTAATATTTTATGATGAAAAGACCAATTACTCGCTCTGAAATGTAAATTGGCTCGAATGCAGACACGTTTCTTAAAAAATTATTATCAGATTTATGCAATTAAGACATAGATAGATTTAATAATACTACCTTTAAACTTAAGATTAAATGAAAAGATATTAAAATAACACGGTCAAAAGAAAAAGCAGACTTTAAAAGAAAAATATAAGAAAATTGTGTGTACACTGCGATTACTATTGATATTATGCGTTTAAGTAGAGAAGTACGAAATTCCATCCTGAATTCCCGGATTGGCGTCTGTGCTTTGTGCATATTTCAAGAAATACCATTCCAGATACAAGATACGATACCGTTAAAAAAAAAATCTGTTATAAAATTTAGATCAGTCGTTATTTTATTTGTTTCCGGATTTAGATTTTTATGTTTAATTGCGGTTTGAGAGTCTCACGATGTGTATACATTTCAGAGAAAAATTACAGAATATCTGAAGCCTCGAAAGGGAATTACGAGCAGACACACTATACACAGAAGTACAAATGAATTATCTTGCATCGATAAATCATGAAAGATTGAGAGTAGCGACTAGGGAGATGTCAGGGAGATTGTTATCCTCGCCTATCTACGTGAACGTGTCGTGACACTAGGTTTCTCGGTGATTATGGGGTGTCTAAAAACGAGGGCACTCGTACACTATCAGAACTCTGGAAGAACATTATTTTGGTACAATCGTAGTTATCGACGAATCGACGGAACAATAATTCTTCTCGACCGCTTTGCGATATATATTTCCTGCGGGTAATTTACGTCGTTTTTCGGGCGCCGATTTTCGGATCGCAAACCATCTACGGAACAATTGCGTTCGCGTACTTTTAAACCCGTTGTATTCTCGTTCCCGTTAAGATCGATATTCGCCCGACGAATCACGAGCGAGAAGACCAGCTCGTGCTATGCCAAAGTTTGCGAAGACGAAGGCGGCTGCCTTCGCAGAACGCGCGTCCACGACGCGGATAATTCTATTGTTGCTTTGGCGAACGTGCAACTTGTACGTGACCCAAAAGTCACGTAAATCCAGTTTCGCGCTGGGACTCTCGCGCGCGGTATTATTCGTGTTCGACTAATTGTCCGAACAATCACGATCGACCGGGCGCGCGTTCAATTGCGCGCCGATTCGCTGATTTGTTTGCACTGTTTAAATGCGATAACGATTGGTCCTTTAATAAACAGTGCGACCGCATGAAGAGATAATTACCTCTTTTTCTCTCTGTTTTTTTTTCTTCTCTTTCTATTTAATAAACGTTTACCTAATTATTCTTTAAAGGCTTCATCATGGAAACAACACATCGATATGTGACACACTCAACCCAATTCGATTGCTTATTGTAAAAATATTTTTTACAATATGTTCATAAAAATAAATATTGTAAAAAATATTTTTTTAATCGAAACGCCAGACATTTTAAAGACCGATACCAAGCAAATATATATGTATATATCTTTATTAATAAACATGGCATACACACGAAGAATTTTGTTGAAATACCTATCTAAAAATTTAATTAGACATAAATTTGAAAATAATTTCAGTGAACATTAAAATACTTGTGTAGGAAGCTCAGGTATAATGTACAAGGCTGCAAAAAGTTTCGATATTCTAATAATCAGCGTTATATAATCATTTTAATGGTCTAACAAAATTTATTTTTAGATCTAACCATAGTTAAATTTTTTGGAACTTCAGCGAAACCATTCTTTCCGTGTGTAGCCAATCCAATTCGATTCATTGTAACTTTCATAAAAATGAACCTATTGTAAAAAATTTTTTTCAATCGAAACCCTAGACATTAAGAAAGATATATTATTATAAATTCAGCTATGGGAATTAGCGCTGTACTAAGTGCGCAACAAGTTTCAAATATTAAATTGTATCTTACATATTTAATCATTAATTTGTATACATGTTTCGACTAACTTTTTAACCATCCTCAGTACGTACAGATGAATCCATGTGATAAAGTAAGCGATGAGATGTATAAGATTAGGCTACGATACTCTTATGTTTTTCATTATTTTAGTATCCGCAATGTTTCCATGTGAGGTGGGTTAATCTTCATTTCTTAGATAAAACGCAATCAGTTGGCTAATTGGATGGTGCAACCGTGATTAAATGTCTTCAATTATTTTACAAAGTTTATCAATAAATTCTAAGCATATTCGTTATAGAAATAATGGTATTATCTCATCTCCATCAAACCACTGCCGGTTAACACGTATACAAATTAATAATTAAATATGTAAGATACAATATTTGAAACTTATTACGCACTTAGTACAGCGCTAATTCCCATAGCCGAATTTGTTATAATATATTTTTTTTATATATCAGGGAATTAAGATTATCATTTGATTAAGAAAGATAACGGTACAAAGAGAATGTACTCTGTAAAATTTTTAGAGTGAAATCTCACACTTAAAGATTGAAAATTGAGCCACTCTTTTTCAAAACTGGCTCAATTTTCACTCGAGTGAAATTTCATTCCAAAGGATTTAGAGAGTATCTATGTATCTTTATTAATAAAAAAGTTATAAGCAATGGAAAAAGTATTGGAAAAATATTGAATAAAAAAAGTTATGCCATAAAAGCGTCTACGGATTAACACTCTTTAAATACTAAAAACTGAAATAAATAATAAAAAATATAACTATAAAGTATTATTATATAATCCGAAGGATAGAATATTTGATTAGAGAATATTATGTAATCGTGGAGCATGCATCAGCTGACCCGTTCACTTGCCAGCCGCAACAGAAGGCGGGTAGTTTCCATACAGATCCGGTGTTGGGCTAGGAAGGAACCGCAAGAGGTTGAAACTAATTTTACCCTGTCTCTCTCTCTCCTCGCGGCCGATATCCGCTAGAGAGCACGTTCGCTCCACTTTGCTGGCGCGAAAGAACGATGCCCGGCG